GATCTTCAGTGTTTCCCAATGCTTTCTTCTAGTAGTTTCTTAACTTCCATTGTTTAATCCATTTTGATTTGTTTTGGTATATGGAAAGAGAGAGCGGTCCAGTTTCATTCTCCTGGATGTGGATGACCAGTTTTCCCAGCACCATTTATTGCAGACTGTCCTTTCCCCAATGTTCTTGGTGACTTTGTTGAAAATGAGTTGACTGTAAATGTGTGGATTTATTTCTGGGCTATTTTGTTCCATTGGTCTATGTGCCTGTTTTTATGACAGCACCATGCTATAGCTCTGGTGTATAATTTGAAGTCACGTAATGTATGCAATGTGATTCCTTCAGTTTTGTTCTTTTTGCCTAGGATTGCTTTGGCTACTCTGGATCTTTATGGTTCCATGGAAATTTCAGGATTGTTTTTCCAAACCCAAAACATTCCTTTGTGAAGACTGTCACTGGTGTTTTGACATAGGTTGCACCGAATTTGTAAATTCCTTTGGGTAGTGTGGACATTTTAACAATACTGATTCCAACAATACTGAATTCGTGATCATGGAGTATTTTTCCACTTTTTTCATGTCATCTTTATAATATCTTTCATCAGTGCTTTTTAGTTTTCATTGTAGAAATCTTTCACTTCTTTGGTTAAGTTTATTCCTAGGCATTTTATTTTTTTTGTAACTACTGTAAACAAGAGTATTTTCTTGGTTTATTTTCCAGATTGTTTGCTCTTGGCATACAGAAATACTGATTTTTATATATTGATTTTGTATCCTGCAATTTTAACTAAACCTCAGTTCTAACAGTTTTCTGGAAGAGTCCTGAGTTTTTTCTAAATTTAAGATACTACTGTCTGTAAACAAGGATAATCCAACTTTTTCCTTTCCAATTTGGATGCCTTTTCTTTCCTTTTCCTGTTTCACTGCCCTGGCTAGGACTTCCAGTACCACATTGAAGAAAAGTAGTGAAAGTGGGCATCCTTGCCTTCTTCCAGATCTTACAGGAAGGAGAGGCCTTCAAATTTCCCCCCATGATACTAGCTGTGACTTTTATTGTGCTGAGGCATGTTCCTTCTACATGCAGTTGAGTTTTTATCATGAAGGGCTGAATTTTGTTGAATGCTTTTTTGGCATCTATAGAAATGGACATATGGTTTTTGTCCTGCATTCTTTTTATGTAATGTATTGCACTTGCAGATTTGAATATGCATTAGGTCGTTCACACACTGCTATAAAGAAATACCTGAGACTGAGTAATGTATTTTAAAAAAGAGGTTTCACTGCCTCAGGATTCTTGAGACTGTACAGCAAGCATGACAGCATCTGTTTGGTTTCTGGGGAGATCTCAGGAAACGCATAATCAGGGCAGAAGGCAAAGAGGGAACAAACACATCACATGGCGGGTAGAGGGGCAGCGAGGGGGGAGGTTTAAACAATCAGATCTGGCAAGAACTCACTCAGTACAAAGTAGCAAGGGGAGATGGTGCTAAACCATTCATGAGAACTCCACTCCCACGATCCAACCACCTCCCACTAGGCCCCTCCTCCAACACTGGGTATTACAATTCAACATGAGATTTGGGCAGGGGCACAGACACAAACCACATCAGAATATGTTGAGCCATCCTTGCATCTCTGGGATGAATCCCACTTGATTACAATGAATGATCTTTTAAATATGTAGTTGAATTTGGTTTGAGGATTCTGCATCTCTATTCAAAGACATTGGCCGAGGGAGGGAGGGAGGGAAGAAGGGAGGGAAGGAGAGGGAGACAGAGAGAGAGAGAGAGAGAGAGAGAGAGAGAGAGAGAGAGAGAGTGTGTGTGTGTGTGTGTGTGTCTGTCTGTCTGTGTCTGGTTTTGGTACCACAGAAATACTGGCCTTGTAAAACTTTTTGGAATCGTTTGAGTATGACTGATAATAGTTCTTCTTCAAATAAATGTTTGCTAGAATTCAGTGAAGCCATCAGGTCCTGGGCTTTTCTATGATGGGAGACATTTTATTGCTGCTTGCGCCGAAAAGATTTTTTTTTTGAGATCGAATTTTGCTCTTGTTGTCCAGACTGGAGTGCAGTGGCATGATCTCAGCTCACTGCAACCTCCACCTCCCAGGTTAAAGCGATTCTCCTATCTCAGCCTCCTCCCAAGTAGCTGGAATTACAGGTGCTCACCACCTCATCTGGCTAATTTTTTAAATTTTTACAAGAGACGGGTTTCGCCATGTTGGCCAACCTGGCTCAAAAACTCCCTACCTCAGGTGATCCACCAGCTTCGGCCTCCCAAAGTGTTTGGATTACAGGTGTTAATCACTGAGCCCAGCCTTTTTATTTTTTAAATCTGACAATAAAGACTGAGTATCCTTAAGCCGGGCGCAGTGGCTCAAGCCTGTAATCCCAGCACTTTGGGAGGCCGAGGCGGGAGGATCATGAGGTCGAGAGATCGAGACCATCCTGGTCAACATGGTGAAACCCCGTCTCTACTAAAAATACAAAAAATTAGCTGGGCATGGTGGCACGTGCCTGTAATCCCAGCTACTCAGGAGACTGAGGCAGGAGAATTGCTTGAACCCAGGAGGCGGAGGATGCGGTGAGCTGAGATCGCGCCATTGCACTCCAGCCTGGGTAACAAGAGCGAAACTCCGTCCCAAAAAAAAAAAAAAAAGATGGAGTATCCTTTACCTGAAATGCTTGGGACCAGAAGTGTTTCAGATTTTCAATGTTTTGTATTTGGGAAAGTCTGCATTATACTTATCAGTTGGGAATCCTTAATCTAAAAATCCAAAATCCAAAACGTTCCCATGAGCATTTCCTTTAATCATGATGTCATCACTCAAAAAGTTTTTAATTTTGGCGCATTTTAGATTTCAGATTTGGGATGCTCAACCCATATCAAGTACTGATGAGGACAGAGAACAACTGCAGCTCTTATACCCTGCCAGTGGTGGTACTAGATGGTACAGACAGTTTGACAATTTCTTTAAAACTTAAAACAATTGCCATGGGACCCACAGCAAGTCTTTTCCTAAGTACTAACACAAAAGAAATAAAAAGTTATGTTCATACAAAAACCTGTACACTAAGGCAAGTTTGTTCATAATCACTGGAAACTGTAAAACCCAAATATACCACAACTGGAGAATGAATACACTATTATACATTCATACAATGAAATGCTACAAGAAGAAACCAACTACTGGTATCGGTAACGTCATGGAGAAATCCTAAATGCATTCTAAGTCTAAGAAAAGGGTACATACTGTATGAGTCCATTTACATGACATTCTAGAAAAGGCAAAAACGTACAAAAAGAAACCATATTATTGGTTAAGTGGAGGTGAGGAAACCGGGCTGATTAGAAATAGGTGTAAGGAAAAGTTTTAGTGTGATAAAGTTGTCTTGTATTTTTAAAATTGTGGCGGTTATATGATTGTATATGCTTGTCAAAACTCACAACTGCACACTAAGGGTAAATTCTACTATATGTAAATTATACCAATAAAAACAATAGAAGTCTGAATAAAAATAAAGGTAATGTGATAAAAATAATACCACGTTACTGGTATCACCACCAGTCAGTCATAAGAAGTTATCTTAAATGTTTAATCATATGTATCTGATTTAAATATGCTACCCATCAATACATTTGAAACAAAGGAAGGTCACATGAGAGGTTTATGAAAGTCAAGGTTATTCTTTAATTATTTCCTTCACCATTTAATGAGACATTAAAAAGTTGACTGTATCTTACCTGAAAACCCACTATTTTTTACTTTTTTTAAATTTTATTTTACTTTTTTTTTATTATCTACTCTGCAGATCCAAACATTCATGAGATAATCAGAGGCAGAGTCCAGGAACATGATTCTTTGCCCTTTCCATATTCCTAATAATGGATACAACTGGTAGAAACAGTAAGTGTAAAGTGTAAGGTGAATATTTAAATATTCTCTCTTTCCATACATTCTCTAAGAAAGTGAGTAATCAGGAGATTCAGCTCTCTTGAAAGAGAGGAAAGAGAATTTTTGAGAGGCATTTAACTTTACAAATTGGTAAAGCAGGACTGTTATCAATTTGTTCCATTTTAAGTATGTGAAAATCAAGGCTTTCAAAGGTGACTGAATCACTTCCCCATTTCTTTCTTTCTTTTTTTGAGACAGAGTCTTGCTCTATTGTCAGACGCCAGGCTGGAGGGCAGTGGCGCTAGCTCAGCTTACTGCAACCTCTGCCTCCTAGGTTCAAGCAATGCTCCTGCCTCAGCCTCCCAAGTAGCTAGGACTACAGGTGCATGCCACCACACCCAGCTATTTTTTTTTTAGTAGAGACAGGGTTTCACCATGTTGGCCAGGATGGTCTCGATCTCTTGACCTCATGATCTGCCTGCCTCGGCCTCCCAAAGTGCTAGGATTACAGGCGTGAGTCACCATGCCCAGCCCACTTCCCCAATTCTAAAGCAAGAGAAAGGTAGAACTAGAATTCAAACTGACAGCAGTCTCACTTCTGACAAAGTTCTTACTCCTACCAAGTAAGAAATCATCTCTTACTGCTACTCATCCCCCTTCTCACATCTGCAATTGTTTAAGCAACAGCTTGGGTCAACATGTTTGAAATCAATTAAGAGTCTTTTAGGATTTTATTATGCATACAATCTGGTTTAATTTTAAACCTCACTCCCACAATGCATGCATATATACTCAGAAAGGTTGAAACAGTTTATCATAATTTATACTAACATACATAGAGTCCTTTATCTGATCACTCAAAATTTTAAAAAGCAAATCACTTACTTTTTAAGTCAGGAATAAAAACAGCAAATATACAAAAGGATATATGAAAAAGTAATGATGCTCACTTTTGACCTTAATACGAAATTATTTTAACTCTAACTTTAAACAAAAGAATACAGAAAAAGTTTCACCCTTCCTCTGGCTTCCTGACATCTGGCTTTCCTCTATTGTTTTCAAAGCTGCCAGTATCCTGAGTTATACACAGATTATTTACTGCAACACAAACTTACCCTGTGAAGTGTCACTGTATGTTGTTCCCATATAGCTGTTTCCTCCATTGCTGTGCTCTGATAAAGGAAAAGAAAAACAAATCATTTACCTCTTAAGAAAATGTCCTTAATTAGGTGAGCAAGAACATCAGGTTAACAATTCAGCACACTGAAATACCAAAATTCACACTGTTAATATTAGAGATACTCTGAACGGACCTTAATAATTATGGAAAGTTTTCTGTTTGCTTTTAAGAGACAGGAAACTACACACAGGAACTTCCTTTGTTTTTAACTTAATTTGGACAGCTGCTCTATATTCACTTCATGCAAGCTGAAATCAGTATTCTAGCTAATTCTGCAACTTTATACTTAACACTAGATAGAAAAGAATAAAAGTTGGGGTCGTATTATCTTAAAATATCTAATACATGTAAACATTTAAAAGCATCTCCTATGTTTTATAGGGGAAGGGAAAGTTAAATACCTCTAAACACAGTAATTATAAATATACGTGTTACAGGAAAACAGATAAAACCACTGATAAGTTTTGGCAAATGGCTGCTTTAATGTCACAAACACGACTGCTCTACCTACTTTCAGTTTTGCTGCAGAATTACTTTCTCAAGCTTCATTTATCACCAAAAGAGAACAGCTTTTCCAGTATATGTATTAACACACATGTAGACAAACACAACATGAAACAAAAAAGAACAAGCTCCCAAACTCCCCAAAGAATCATCATAAAATAAGTGTTACGAGGTCCAATTACGTCCCTACCCAAATTATAGTGTACTTCAGTTTCACCTCCTGTCATGAACCTCTCACTAGAGAGGAAAATAAATCATTATCTAAGGCAGGGATGTCCAATATTTTGGCATCCCTGGGCCACAATGAAAGAATTGTCTTGGGCCACACATAAAATACACTAACACTAATGAAAGCCGATAAGCTTAAAAAAAAAAAAAAAGGCAAAAAAACACCTCATAATGTTTTGAGAAAATTTACAAATTTGTGTTGGGCCACATGCAACCCATGGACCACAGTTTAGAAAAGCTTATCTAAGGAATTAGCAGTAAATAATTCAAAATAATTTTTATATGGGGTTAATTATTCTTAGAGGCTTAAAATATTTCACTCTCTCTGAATGCTACCATTTTATGAAACTGGGACTCCTAAAATGTATTTACGAGTAAATTTTTAAAAGATTCTTCAGCATTATCAAAAGGTAGAGTAGAAAGGGAGAAGGCTAAGCATGACATTCTCAAACCACTAGTCACCCATTACTATAAATGCCTATTTCCTAAGTGAGGCCTGTCTTCTCATAAACTATTGTTATAAGCATCCTGAGAATATGCCTAACAAGGTGCCATGGGCTCATTTCTCCTTTCTCACAGTGACTTTAATTGAAGATTAATGCCATTTTAGAAAGTAAGTCCCTATAAAGAAAGCCTGCTTCCCTAAATTCAAAGCAACTAGATTAACTCTCCTGCCAGATGAATGAGAGAGGAGAGAGAAAGGATCTCTCTGTTCGTCCCCATAGAGAAGAACTGCCAACCTCACCAGCATTTTGTTTCAATCTTCCAGTCAAGAGCAACAAAACCTCCCTTTAATGAGACCTCCACTGGAAACAAAGATTTTGGTTTTTTTTAAACAAACACTGACTGGGATAATGCATTAAAAAAAAAATTCTTCCATCAATGAGAAGCAACAAAATCAGCTAAACATCAACAGTCCCACTGAAGTATACATGATAAAACGTATCTGCAGCAGTTGCCAGTTTGTCCAATCTCAGCTGATATTAAGAATGACAACTGCTTGCACAGCTCTCAGCTCATCTTTTCTTGATCTATTTCATTAACCAGTGACACTGCTTTACTGCCTTTTTCATCCTTTTCCTATCAGTCCAAAACGGAAGTGATGTGCTAACATGCACTTACTCTCCCTGATACTCTTTGGTATGAAACAGTTAATCATCCTCTCTAAGGTCTTAATGAACCCACACTTTTCCATTTTGTAAGAGGATGTTAATCAAATGGGAAAATTTATTTAACATTCAGGAGACAGCAGGTTGCAAAACAGCATGTACATTGTCATCCTAATTTTGTTTAGACATTAGTAGGGAACAAAGGCTGAAAGGATAAACAAAATGTTAACACTGTTTATCATCTTCAAAGGAAAGGGATTGTGGGTGACATTTTTCTATCAGGTGTTTTATCTTCCTGCTTTCTTTTCTCCATTCCCAATCAGAACAAACTGGCAATGTATTTTAAACCATATTCACCAAATCCCATTCCTACTTGACATTTCAAATACAGACAGTCCCTGGACTTCCGATGAGCCAACTTGTTTTTTGACTTTACAATGGTACCCATACAATTATTGCTTTTCACTTCCACTACAGCATTCAAAAAATTATATGAGATATTTAACACTTTACTGTTAAATAAGCTTTTGTGTTAGATAATTTTGCCCAACTATATACTAACGTAAGTGTTCTGAGCATGATTAAGGCAGGCAAGGCTAAGCTTATGACACTGGGTAGGTGGGGTGTATTAAATCCCTTTTTGACTTAAAAGTATTTTCAACTTACGATGAGTTTAATGAGGACACAGCTCTAAGTGAGCTGAGAAGCATCTGTATCTGTTTTTCACTTGGTTTTTAGGAAAATCAAATAATGCTTAAGAGGATTGCTGTTCTTATTTTTAAAAAGTTTATTCTCCTGTTAGTAAAGAATCTATACATTAAGGCCTTAATGTACAGTCTCCAGGAGGAGCACAAGAAGAGAAACTTACTTTGTGCAAGGGGGAAAACTAAAATACTAAAACATAATTGCTCTCACCATTCCACATTAAAATCCTATCGTTTTTCTTTGGATGAACTGGAAAAGTACATATCTCAACAAACTTCTCTGTTAAATATTAAAGACAGCTTGATTTAGCGGAAGGGAAGACCTGCGTGGAAGAAAGTAATTGAGAATGAAACATCAAAAGAAGTAAAGAAGTGGTTAGACTCTTGACCAGCCACTAAACCAACTTAATCCATAATGTAAGTGAGTGACTAGGTTTTACCACTCCTTATCTTATAAAGAAAAAAAAAAGAAAAAATATATATTCCTAGTTTAAATCATAGAACATGTCATCTCTCTCCATTCTCTAGCCTTTCATTTGCTCCCGTGGCAAAAGCAATAAATTCTATCTATGGTTGTTTATGTAATCAGGCAATCCTGATGAAGAGTTCTGAATGAACTGAGGAATGCACAGATGAACAAACGCATAAATATATAATAATGCAAACAGAGCAAAATGATAATGGTAGAATCTTAGTGGTTGGTATTCAGGTATCCATGGTAAACTTCTTTCAATTTTGTTATGTATTTGAAAGTGATTAGAATAAAATGCTGTGGGAAAACAAAGAAATCCTTCTAGTAAATCATTCAGAAATCAAAGCTAAAATTAATATAAAACATTTTTAGTACCAGTAAATTTATTAACCACTATTTTCATGAGCATTCCAAAAAGAAAAAATGTTCACTAATGACTGAGAATTTTGATTCTTTTGAAAAGTGAGAAGCGGGAGGATCCTTTGGAAGAATACCTAAGAAACACACAACTTCTGGGGTGGAGAAATGAAAAGCAGGTGGGAGGAGTCTCAGTTTTCACTGGGAGCCCTTGGCACTCTTTTTACTGGAAGCCCTTTGCACTTTTAGTCACATTCATCTACTACTTATCAAATTGTAATTTTTATCATTTAAAAAATGCAGAAGGATTTGGGAGACTGAGGCTGGTGGATCACTGGAGGTCAGGAATTTGACACCAGTCTGTTCAACATGGTGAAACCCTGTCTCTACTAAAAATACAAAAATTAGCCGAGCATGATGGCACACGCCTGTGATCCCAGCTATTTGGGAGGCTGAGGCAGGAGAATCACTTGAACCTGGGATACCAAGGTTGCAGTGAACCAAGATCGCACCATTGCACTCCAGACTGGGTGACAAAAGCAAAATTCCATCTTAAAAAAAAAAATGCAGAAGGAATAATTGCATAACTTGCACAAAAAGCTTCTGGTGAATTACCAGTCTCGGGCTCATTTTGGCTTGTAGGAGAACAAGGGGAAAAAGTATTATTCCTCTAAGCGTGATTCTAGCACTACATCACTCCCTAGTAACTCAGAAAGATGTTGGTAAACAGGAAACAAACTAAACCAAGCATAAGAAGACAAGAGCCCAAATGTATCTCAACTAGAAATGTGATCTTAGTTTTCCTCACCTATAAAATTAGGGAACTGGATGAAATTGTATCAAATGAAAAGACCTTTCTAGCTCCAAAATTCTGTTAGACTATAATTCCAATGAACAGCCTACAAATTCAATAATTAGTGAAGCACTGCAGGCATCAAAAGTAACTGCAATTCATGGTTGCTGGATTCTGAGTTCTGCGCACATTTCTAAGTCGGCATCAACTGACTAGAATCACAATTTCTGAAGAAGCAATAAGCTTTATTTCAGAATCTGCCAAGAGTTTGTTTAGTTTCTTTGTTCTAAGCTCCAGCTGGCAAAGACACTACTCAGATCACCAACTCTGAAGGGCTTCCTGCCAAAACTTCAGATGCCGGTTCTAGGCAGTTTCACTGTCCTTTAGGACTGATTACCGAATGGGGAAAGATAGGAGAGCACAAGAACTGACAAGACAGGAGGAGCCTGTAACTGAGAGAAGAACAAATCCGAAAGAGAAGATATAAAGTATACTCCAAATGAAGAACTCCTTAACATTATCTAAATACACAGCCAGTTAAATTTTACTATACTGATGGCTGTAATTTCAAAAACAATCCATGTATTATTCATTCATTGATTCACTGATTCATTCATTCAACAAACATGTATCAGATATGGTAAGTGTTGGTGAAGCCAAAAATAGATCCCTCTCCCTCCCTAGGGGCTCAAAGAAGCAGCTGAGAACACTAGATAAACGGTACTTAGGTTGGTGCAAAAGTAATTGCAGCTTTTGCCATTAAAATGGGATCAAAAGATAAAAAGCTTTTTGCACCAAAATTAATAACTTTTGCACCAAACAGAT